CGAAGGCTTTTGCAAAGTCTGTATATATTACATCTGCATTCTTTTTGTCTTCTAGTGCATTTAGGACCTTGTCATAGTGATCCAATAGTTGAGACAGACAGGAGCGACCTGTTCTAAACCCATGTTGCCCTGGGTTGTGTAACTGATGGGTTTCTAGATGGGTGGTGATCTTGCTTCTTAGGACCCTTTCAAAGATTTTATGATATGGGATGTTAGTGCTATTGGTCTGTAGTTCTTTGCTGTTGCTTTACTGCCCCCTTTGTGGAGTGGGGCTATGTCTGTTGTTTTTAGTAACTGTGGGACGACCCCCGTGTCCATGCTCCCTCTCCATAGGATGGAAAAGGCTCGTGATAGGGGCTTCTTGCAGTTCTTGATGAACACAGAGTTCCATGAGTCTGGCCCTGGGGCAGAGTGCATGGGCATGTCATTTATCGCCTGTTCGAAGTCATTTGGCGTCAGGATAACATCGGATAGGCTTGTGTTAATCAAATTTTGTGGCTCTCTCATAAAAATTTCATTTTGATCTTCGACTCTCAGTCTGGTTAGCGGCTTGCTAAAAACTGAGTCATATTGGGACTTGAGTAGCTCACTCATTTCCTTGCTGTCATCTGTGTAGGACCCATCTTGTTTAATTAAGTAGGGGCCAAATACTGGACGTTGTTCTCGATTTTGATTTGGCATAGGAGAAGAAATACTTTGGGTTTCTTTCGATTTCATTTATGGCTTTTAGTTCTTCCGCGACAGTAGCAACAACAGCAGTAGCAACAACAGCAGTAGCAACAACAGCAGCAGTAGCAACAACAGCAGTAGCAACAACGGCAGCAGCAACAACAGCAGCAGCAGCAACAACAGCAGTAGCAACAACGGCAGTAGCAACAACAGCAGTAGCAACAACAGAAGTAGCAACAACAGCAGTAGCATCAACAGCAGTAGCAACAGCAGCAGCAGTAGCAACAACAGCAGTAGCAACAACAGCAGTAGCAACAGCAGCAGCAGTAGCAACAACAGCAGTAGCAACAACAGCAGTAGCAACAACAGCAGTAGCAACAACAGCAGTAGCAACAGCAGCAGCAGTAGCAACAACAACAGTAGCAACAACAGCAGCAGTAACAACAGCAGTAGCAACAACAGCAGTACCAACAACAGCAGTAGCAACAACAGCAGTAGCAACAGCAGCAGCAGTAGCAACAACAACAGTAGCAACAACAGCAGCAGTAACAACAGTAACAGCAACAACAGCAGTAACAATAACAGTAACAACAACAGTAACAGCAACAACAGCAGTAGCAACAACAGTAACAGCAACAACAGCAACAACAGCTCTATTGGTCTTAGAATTCACCAATGAATCTTTTTATTTGCTTGTTACTGTAAAATAGTGTGAGTGGTCCCATCATGTCTTGAAGTGGTCTCATCTTGTCTTGAAGTGGTCTCATCTTGTCTTGAAGTGGTCCCATCTTGTCTTGAAGTGGTCCCATCATGTCTTGAAGTGGTTTCATCTTGTCTTGAAGTGGTCCCATCTTGTCTTGAAGTGGTCCCATCTTGTCTTGAAGTGGTCTCATCTTGTCTTGAAGTGGTCTCATCTTGTCTTGAAGTGGTCCCATCTTGTCTTGAAGTGGTCCCATCATGTCTTGAAGTGGTCTCATCTTGTCTTAAAGTGGTCTCATCTTGTCTTGAAGTGGTCCCATCTTGTCTTGAAGTGGTCTCATCTTGTCTTGAAGTGGTCTCATCTTGTCTTGAAGTGGTCTCATCTTGTCTTGAAGTGGTCTCATCTTGTCTTGAAGTGGTCCCATCTTGTCTTGAAGTGGTCCCATCTTGTCTTGAAGTGGTCCCATCTTGTCTTGAAGTGGTCTCATCTTGTCTTGAAGTGGTCTCATCTTGTCTTGAAGTGGTCTCATCTTGTCTTGAAGTGGTCCCATCTTGTCTTGAAGTGGTCCCATCTTGTCTTGAAGTGGTCTCATCTTGTCTTGAAGTGGTCCCATCTTGTCTTGAAGTGGTCCCATCTTGTCTTGAAGTGGTCCCATCTTGTCTTGAAGTGGTCCCATCTTGTCTTGAAGTGGTCTCATCTTGTCTTGAAGTGGTCTCATCTTGTCTTGAAGTGGTCCCATCTTGTCTTGAAGTGGTCCCATCTTGTCTTGAAGTGGTCCCATCTTGTCTTGAAGTGGTCCCATCTTGTCTTGAAGTGGTCTCATCTTGTCTTGAAGTGGTCTCATCTTGTCTTGAAGTGGTCTCATCTTGTCTTGAAGTGGTCCCATCTTGTCTTGAAGTGGTCCCATCTTGTCTTGAAGTGGTCTCATCTTGTCTTGAAGTGGTCCCATCTTGTCTTGAAGTGGTCCCATCTTGTCTTGAAGTGGTCCCATCTTGTCTTGAAGTGGTCTCATCTTGTCTTGAAGTGGTCTCATCTTGTCTTGAAGTGGTCTCATCTTGTCTTGAAGTGGTCCCATCTTGTCTTGAAGTGGTCTCATCTTGTCTTGAAGTGGTCCCACTTGTCCCAATAACACTACACACAGCAGTTGTGGTGTCAGGAACAGTGGTGTCAGGAGTAGTGGTGTCAGCAGTAGCGGTAGGAGCAGTAGTGTTGTCAGCAGTAGTGGTGTCAGCAGTAGTTTTGTCAGCAGTAGTTTTGTCAGCAGTAGTGGTGTCAGCAGTATCGGTGTCAGCGGTAGTGTTGCCCGCAGTAGTGGTGTCAGCACTAGTGGTGTCAGCAGTAGTGGTGTCAGCAGTAGTGGTGTCAGCGGTAGTGTTGCCCGCAGTAGTGGTGTCAGCACTAGTGGTGTCAGCAGTAGTGGTGTCAGCAGTAGTGGTGTCAGCAGTATCGGTGTCAGCGGTAGTGTTGCCCGCAGTAGTGGTGTCAGCACTAGTGGTGTCAGCACTAGTGGTGTCAGCAGTAGTGGTGTCAGCAGTTGTACACAACACCAAGACAGTGAGTGAGGTATGTGAAACATGCCCTCAGTACTTACTTACTAAGTAAGGCAGTGTTCATCCCCCTGACAGACACAAGTTAGGGTGAACCTTGTGTTCAGTGAGCCAGAAAGAGCCATAACTTGACCCCATAACGTTTCTTTGAAAGTTCATTAGACGAAACTTATATTTAAATAATACTCAAGTCACAATGTCCTTCCCTCCAAGAATGTCCCGAAATATACCATTTTACAGAGGCATTTTTAACTTTGTATTTTTTCCGAGTTTAGATCTACCTCGTATCGTAGTGAGTAACAACTGAAAGTACTCGGGTCGAGTCCTGGGTGGGGAGAAAGGCATGGACAAGGCTCCTAATACTTGCGGCCTCTGTTACCTAGAAATAACTAGATATCTGGGTATTAGTCGCCTTGTGTGTGTAGCATCCTGGAGAGGACCTAAGGAACGCAATGGAAATAAGCCACACTGGCTTTCCTGGGTTATTCTGGCCTAATAAGTTATTTCGAATAAATTTTGATCTCTCTACAGTAAGCTACCAAATATTCTAGTCTTTAAATAATTAGGATATATCCAGACATATACCTTCTAACCCTTTTGGGACCCTAGTTCCTAGACACCGTGTATACCTGTACGCTGTTGTCCACAGGATGGACATGGAGTGCACAAGGAACTACCCACTTCAGGGTTAAAAATGTTAAAAATCTGTAAGTAAATAGCGTTCATTTCTCTCTCATACCAAAATTATCTACACAGTTCCATTTTTAGTTGGTCGCCTGAGCGGCTGGTTTACTGTGCGCTCACAGTCATCCTGTCAGCAGCAGCGCAAAAAAAAGAAGACCCAAACAACCCCTCACTTAAATTGAAACTTATGACGACGTTTCGGTCCGACTTGTACTATAAACAAGTCAGTATGAGCTGTTAATGGCCCAAGTTGGGCCATTAATAAGTCACCGAAATGTCTCAAGTTGCAGTCTCCTAAGTGCGGGTTATTTGTGTATTGTTCCAGTCACGGTATTGTGCCTTTGTATTCTTCAGAACACACCAAGATCACAGAGGTCACAAATGGCTCTCTATCAGACGTCACTGGACACAGTTAACAACCTTAGCTATCCTCTCCTGACAGTGAAATCCCCCATAACAGGATCTTAAACGGCATTTTCAGTTATCATAGGCATTTACCAGCTCATTATAGTGTTCAGCTTCCTCATCTGAATAACATGAGTACGCTATGTACATAACACAATGTCTGAAGCTTATATATGTATCTGACGTATTATGCTACTCACTTTGACATATATAAAGTTTCTACTCCTTCACATGTTGGTGAAGGTCTCCTGATCCAAGGAACTGGATCTCAAACCTAAAGCACTCTGTGACCCTTATGCATTTAGCACTTTATCTGTGAATATACTACTACTACTACTTCTGCTGCTGCTGCTGCTGCTACTACTACTACTACTACTACTACTACTACTACTGCTACTACTACTACTACTACTACTACTACTACTACTACTACTACTACTTCTGCTGCTGCTGCTGCTGCTACTACTACTACTACTACTACTACTGCTACTACTACTACTACTACTACTGCTACTACTACTACTACTACTACTACTTCTGCTGCTGCTGCTGCTGCTACTACTACTACTACTACTACTACTACTACTACTACTACTGCTACTACTACTACTACTACTACTACTACTACTACTGCTACTTCCTGGAGATGGGAAGTACAGTGCCGGCAGTCTGAAGGAGGAGTGTTAATGTTGCAGTTTTATAACTGTAGTGTAAGCATGCCCATGGCAAGACAGTGATGGAGTGAATGATGAAAGTTTTTCTTTTTCGGGTCACCCTGCCTAGGTGGAAGACGGCCGATGTGCTAATAAAAAGACTGATATAACTTCAGCAAATCTTAAGGAATCAAAAGAAATATTTTTTTCGGTTATACTTGATACACATGATATCCAACACTTGTATCCTCTCATTGTTTAACCATCGTACGTTTATATATTTTCTTCATTCAAGGCGGCTCAAGATAGCTTGTTTCTTATACGAGTTCTTTTCTTCCTCAGGACTGACGATCACTGGAGGTAAATAACTCTCCCAGCTGCTGAGATCTCTGAGTGTTTACCTGATATATTTCGAAGAGAATATATAACGAAATTCGTGAAATTTTGCGAGTGTTGATGATTTTTTGAAGTGTAGAATAATTTCTCGCTTTTGCAAAGAGCTTCAGTATTATAAGAAAGTGTTTCCAGCACGCTGTTGTGGAACACAAGAGACGCAACACTCACCAGTGTACGCCCATACTGGAATAAAACCAGCACCCACTTCGCTATGGATAGCCCAAGACCCTCAGGTCTACGCGCCCCCACCCGCCTCGGGCGAGCCAATCTCAGTGTCACCATCCCACTCTTCACCGAGCCTACATCGCCTCAATCTTCGAAGTCCTACAAGATCGCCCCGCTCTCTACCCCCTCGCCTTCTGCTGGGGCCAGTGAGTACCCTCTCGTGGTTGACTTTCCATTCATATAGTGACAACTGTAGGATAGTTTTATTGTGAGGTTGTGTTGACTAATTCTAAGTATATTTTAACACATCAACAGGACTGGTTCACTGGTATTCTTGCTGTGTCGGTATGGAACTCTCCTATTTAACTCAGCTTCAGTAAAATTAGTTTATTGGTATTATGGTTAGGCGTGCGAATTTAGCGAATGCATAGTTCTCCCCCTGACTTTCTTATAGGAGTTGCTAATGGTCCAGGACTGGCCGCAGCCTCAGCTAAAGTTTCCTCTCCAAATTTTTTAGGTTAATTGTGAAATAGTCCAGAAATCATAACGTGGTGAGGATTAGATTTTAGAATTTGCTACCGAAGTGGCTAGTTTATTGTGCACCTCATATCCATCCTGTGGATGGTAGCTCGAGAGCATATGGATACACAAAAGGCCAGAAGGTTTAACAGGTGTATATATGGGTTTTTTAATCTACATATCTACAGTCCACTTATCTGTTACAAGCAAATTTAGGAAATTTGCTTAGTATATCTGGTATCTTATTTTCATTAATAAGATATCGTGACATGTCACATAGGTTATTATACTATCTCGTGGTGAGGGAGGTATCAGAAGTATGGGAAACATTTGGGTTATCAGTAAACAAATGCTGATTTAACACCAGCATTGTAACTATTGGATTTCCTTTACTGGAACCTGAAGGCAGTATTCCGCAGCACAAGCTAGATTCCATCGCCAGATAAGTGAAATTTATCTGCATTGGCAGACTAAGAGAAAACACAGTGTCCGGGGCCCAATACTGTTCAGCAGCCTCCCAACAGCCATAAGGGGAATTACCAATAGACCCCTGGTTGTCTTCAAGAGGGAGCTGGACAGTTACCTAAAGTCAGTGCCAGATCAGCCGGACTGTGGTTCGTAAGTTGAACTACGTGTGGCCAGCAGTAACAGCCTCGTTGAGCAGGCCACGATCCACCAGGAGGCCTGATCATGGACCGGGCCGCGGGGGCCTTGATGCCCGGAATACCTTCAAGGTAGACTCCAGGTAGACCCAGGCGTAGGTGTGCAGACAGAATTGCAAAATGAGATAAGATAAGACAAGATTTCGTTCGGATTTTTAACCCCGGAGGGTTAGCCACCCAGGATAACCCAAGAAAGTCAGTGCGTCATCGAGGACTGTCTAACTTATTTACATTGGGGTCCTTAATCTTGTCCCCCAGGATGCGACCCACACCAGTCGACTAACACCCAGGTACCTATTTGCTGCTTGGTGAGCAGGACAACAGGTGTAAGGAAACGTGTCGAAATGTTTCCACCCGCCGGGAATCGAACCCGGGCCCTCCGTGTGTGAAGCGGGAGCTTTAGCCACCAGGCCACCGTAATGTAATCTTCAGAACACGCGTGCCTTGACCTAACCTTAGATAAATGAATCTTTATTCAACGTTCCGAATATATGATTCTCACGTGTCATAAATGATAGTAGAAGTTGAGGTAGTAATAGATGTAGGGATAGTAATATGAGTAGAGGCAGACAACTGGGTTTCTCATATTTTCTAAGTTGTGATTTGATAATGGTTAGGGATGGAGCGAAACGTTGTCTAAAATTTACCTCTAATAAACCAGACCGTGGCTAACGCGACGGTCTGGAGTTTTGAGACTGATCACAAGTTCTATCCCCACCCGTGGTATGGTTTGTTTGCAATCGTGTCATTACGATTTCGTGAGTCAGTTACCTCTAATATGTGAGAAAACTGCGGAAAGATATTTGGACATAGCCTACTAAAAAAAAAAAAAAATTGCTGAGAATACTAACCTCTTTAGGGCAAGCCGCTTGGGTTTAGTTACTCAAGGAAGCCAAACAGTGGTTTATCACTGGTGTTCCTAAGTCCTTCCCCAGGATGAGACCCACAACAGCTGACTAACTCTTGTGTATTATTTACTGCTAGACCAAAAGAGTTAGTAAGTGCCAGGCAAAGACAAAGATTTATTGCCACATGATACAGTGTTCGTACAGAGATGGGTGATATTTGGTTGTGCATGCAGAAAGCCCATAGTTTTGCACAGCATTTTGTTTTGCCTTGTCAGGTATTAAAAATAATGCACATACATATTTATAGGCCCTCAGTTCAATTTTAATTAAGAACCTCGTAATTCAGAGGAAGTGAGGTTGGCTTACAACTAACTCGACTTGTTCAAGTCTTGAACACCTGCTGCCGGTATTACCTAGCAGGAATCAGGTACCTTGCTGTTAGCTGACTGTTGCAGGTCGCATTCTGGGGAAGGACTTAAAGGCTGTTTGGATTTCTTTGGTTGGAAAGTCTTCCTCTTCGACAGCTTGCAAGCAAACTTTTAGTTTATTTAGTTAGCCATTGAAGGTTACGTTTTCTAACACAAATCACTAAAGAAAATTGTCAAATATATGCAGTAACTAATCAATTTTTATAGGCTTGCAGTAGTTACGATACAAAACGTGCTTCACTGAGGTGAAATTAATTTGTTTTGCAGACTGTTAATCTAAATTTATATATCTTTATCAACATCAAATAATGTTGGTATGTCCCAGGATGACACTATACAAGCATATTATGTTACTGCTGACAACTGAAACACGTGGCTCGGTTTGGGGTCCTGTATGACCACTTCGCAACAGTAACTATCACCATTTTCACTACACCACAATAACTACCATCATCTTTACTACACAATAACTACCACCATCGTCACTACACAATAACTACCACCATCTTCACTACACAATAACTACCACCATCGTCACTACACAATAACTACCACCATCGTCACTACACAATAACTACCACCATCGTCACTACACAATAACTACCACCATCTTCACTACACAATAACTACCACCATCGTCACTACACAATAACTACCACCATCTTCACTACACAATAACTACCACCATCGTCGCTACACAATAACTACCACCATCTTCACTACACAGTAACTACCACCATCGTCACTACACAGCAACAGTTTGTCTTACATCGTCACAATAAAATGACTGCTGTAATGAATTAGGGTCTGTGCCAGAGCTCAGCACATTCAAATTCAAATTCAAATTCAAAGTTTATTCTCTATAAGGATTACAATGCTGAGTTTACAGAAATTTGGTTATTGTGTGGTTTACATGTAGTAAAATTGTGATTACAGAGTGTACCACTAGAACGCTTAGCATGGCTAGGCATTTCGGGCATACTTAGTTTTATTCTTAATTGTAAAATATTACAAATTATGAGGTAAGTTGGTATTATGGGTAAGTGACTAAATACTAGTTTGTGAGTTTAGCAATGTGAATGCTTTTGTTTTGGCACAGTACACAGTATTTTCACATTTATCAGCAAACAATCAGTAAAATAGGTACCTGGGTGTTAGTGGACTGGTGTGGGACGCATCCTGGGTGTTAGTGGACTGGTGTGGGTCGCATCCTGGGACAAAATTAACCTAATTTGCGGGAAATGCTCAGCATAACAAGGTACTTTCTATATAGTAGTATGTCACTGATGTCAGCTATGGTCTGTATACCTTGTACATGTACTGGTACAAATAAAAATGATTTTATCAAGTACGTAGCAAGTAAAACATTTTCAAGATTTCTGGAACAGTGGTCTCCAGAGTGGTCTCCAGAGTGGTCTCCAGAGTGGTCTCCAGAGTGGTCTCCACAGTGGTCTCCACAGTGGTCTCCCTCACTCACACCTACATGACCACAAACCTGTTTGTCAAACTTGTAGTGTTCACTCTCTTGTTATGTAGTAGGTGGTAGTAGGTGTAGTGTGGTATAGTAGGTGGTAGTAGGTGTAGTGTGGTATAGTAGGTGGTAGTAGGTGTAGTGTGGTATAGTAGGTGGTAGTAGGTATAGTGTGGTATAGTAGGTGGTAGTAGTGTAGTAGTGGTAAGTATAGGTGGTAGTAGGTGTAGTGTGATAAGTAGGTGGTAGTAGGTGTAGTGTGTTGTAGTAGGTGTAGTGTAGTGTAGTAATGTAGTGTAGTAGATGGTAGTAGGTGTAGTGTGTTGTAGTAGTGTAGTGTAGTAGATGTAGTGTAGTAGTGGTAGTAAGGTGTATGTGTTGCAGTAGGTGGTAGTAGGTGTAGTGTGTATAGTAGGTGGTAGTAGGTGTAGTGTGGTAAGTAAGGTGGTAGTAGGTGTAGTGTGTTTGTAGTAGTGTAATAGTGAGTGTGGTATATAGGTGGTAGTAGGTGTATGTGGTATAGTAAGTGGTAGTATAGGTAAGTAGTGTGTTGTAGTAGGTGTATGTAGTAGATGTAGTGTAGTAGGTGGTAGTAGGTGTAGTGTGTTGTAGTAGGTGGTAGTAGGTGTAGTGTGGTTAGATAGGTGTAGTGTAGTGTAGTAATGTAGTGTAGTAGGTGGTAGTAGGTGTAGTGTGTTAGTAGTAGGTGGTAGTAGGTGTAGTGTGTTGTAGTAGGTGTAGTGTAGTGTAGTAGATGTATGTAGTAGGTGTAGTAGTGTAGTGTGTTGTAGTAGGTGGTAGTAGTGTAGTGTGTGTAGTAGGTGGTAGTAGGTGTATGTGTTGTAGTAGGTGTTAGTGTGTATTGTAGTAGTGGTAGTAGTGTATGTGGTGTAGTAGGTGGTAGTAGTGTAGTGTGTTGTAGTAGGTGGTAGTAGGTGTAGTGTGTTGTAGTAAGGTGGTTAGTAGGTGTAGTGTGGTGTAGTAGTGGTATAGGTGTAGTGTGTTTAGTAGGTGGTAGTAGGTGTAGTGTTTTTGTAGTAGTGTAGTAGTGTAGTGTGTATGTAGTAGTGGTAGTAGGTGTAGTGTGGTGTAGTAGGTGGTAGTAGGTGTAGTGTGTTGTAGTAGGGGGTAGTAGGTGTAGTGTGGTGTAGTAGTTGTAGTGGTTGTAGTGTGTTGTAGTAGGTGTAGTGTGGTGTAGTAGTTTGTAGTGTGTTGTAGTGTTTGTAGTAGGTGTAGTAGGTGTAGTAGGTGTAGTGTGTTGTAGTAGGTGTAGTGGTT